GTATCATCTGGCCTTAGGTTAAATGATTCCAACACTCCATCCTTTTGGATTTAGGCAATGCGCTTCTTGTTGACATGTCCAAGACAACAATGCCACAAGCATGTTTTGTCTAAACAATTAGAGGAACCAATTTGCAGTACAATATTCACTAAATTGTCTATAACTATCACAGTTTCATATACACCATCACAAGGAAATGCTTCAAAATAAAATACAGCATTATAATAAGTATTAATAGAACCATTCTCATTGTTGAAAGAATATCTAAAACCTTGTCTGTACAAACCATGAAAAGAAATACTATTCTTCTTCATCTCTATTGAGTATCAACAATTGTTTAAGTCTAAACACAACCCATTACTAAGCATTAGAAAATAAATGCCGATCTTGGTAACATGTGACGATCTCCTATTACACATTATCAGGTTCATATTCACAAGCTCCATATGCCTACTTTCTTTTAGTCCTTGCAAGTTAGAGCAAATGTGAAAACTAAAACCTATATCAAGGACCCAAGAATTAGAATGGGATGACCTTTTAGACAGAATAGTGTAAATACCTGCCGAGGTAGACTTGATCTTTCCATATTTAATATCCTGCAAGTATTTAGGGCAACTTCTTTTCTAATGCCACTTGTAATGGCAGTAGAAGCAAGTAGCTTCTTTGGGGTCAGAAGTGGGGTGAGCATTAGAACTAGACTTGCCTTTAGGGCCATTGCTTGACGACCCAGCTTGAGACTTTCCCTTCTAATTGTGTTTCGAGGGTGCTTTCCTCTTTTTCCCTTTCCCTTGCCAAATGGCCAAGAAGAGAGTAGTAGTACTTGTTTAAGAGTAGAGTCAATACCATTTCCCTTCAATCCACTCTCAATGGTTTTCAGCAAGCATTGAAGTTGACTCAACGTGAGTTCCTCTTTGTTCAAATAATAAGTCATTTTGAACTGATCATAACAACTATGGAATGAGTGCAAGACTATATCGATATCTTTTTCATCATTGAAATTTACGCTCTGTTTTAGTAAACGATCCACATAGCGTTGCAGGTGGATTGTGACAGACTTTCCATCCTTCATCTTGGTGGTTACGAGTGACTTGACTATCTCATACCTTTTTTGACGTGCTCTTTGATGGTACTTCACCATAAATTCCTTGCACATCTCATAAGGCCAATCGGCCTCATAAAAAAGTTGTAGCTCAGGAGTCATAGTTGCCACCATTATACACGACACTTTGGTCACGTCTTTTTAGTGGGCCCTATATTGAACTATTTCTTCATGAATAACTTTAGATTCATCTATCTCGTTCAGATCTTTGTCGAGGACATATTCCTTGTTCTCGAATCACAAGGTCATCCTAATGTTGTGCATCCAGTCATTAAAGTTGAATCCATCGAATGTAACCTTGGCACAAATGCTCAAGAACGTGAAGGTGTTCGAGGAGTTGTTGTTGTTGTTGGAGCCATAAGCGATTTATGAGGTAGACATCTAAAAATAAAGAAGAACAAGTTTTGATTAGTTAAGAAATCCTTAATATAACACCCAAATGAAATATTAAGGCTAAGATCTTGCACAACAATTCACAATTCAGAAAAGGGATGCCATAGTCCAATTGTAAATGATTTGAAGGTAGGTAAATGTCGATTTACCAATTTCACCACAAAAAATGAAATTTAAACGAATTAGGTTTTAAATGAAATTCCTAGATCTTTTGAGATTCATTGAACCATTCAATGACACATTTAATCTCGATTATGTCATTTCTATTTGTGATTGGGATACTGAGGATCACAAACAAGGTGTGAATAACCATGCAAATTAGCTTGGTACTCTCGATGTCATTTATCACGTAGTCAATGTGCTGGTTAACAACACACAATTTATTGATCAATGATAATTTACGAGCTTCCCATCACCACCCTTTATCAGCCCATATTACTGTGTTGATTAACCAAACACGCTCCACTAACGAATTTTATAAAATGCACTGTGCAATTTCATGAATTAGCATCAAATTCACATTTTCCTAAAGTAACTAAGATTGTGAATTTTATAAAAACCATTTAGTTACTTTATATATTCCATTATACTTATTAATGAGAATTAAGTGACCTATCAAACTTGTTTGGCTAACGACCCTCCACCAATTAAGGAAGCGGTGGGTGAGAGTGGACACTCATTCAACCACCATTTTATACGCAGTTTCTTTATACCTCCTTATTTACTGGCTTCGTGAATGAGGCGTACAAGTGGTTTGACTGACTTGTCCTATACATATATAATATTAGACTTTTAATTTTATGTAGTATAAGAGTGTATTTTAAAATTTTAAAATTTTAAAATTCTAGGGTTTTTAATGTAATTTAAAATTTTCGAAAAATTAATACCTTTTAATTTAAAATTTTAAATATTAAAAAACCTTGATTAAATAATTATCTAAAATTAAACAATTAATTTAAATTATTAAATCAATTAAGGATTATCCATTAAATTAATTAAATTAATTTAACCTAATCCTTTACCTTTTAGATTTCGAAAATAGGGAAGGATAATTACAAGATTTTATAATTATCTAGTAAACGATTAAAAGATAATTACCAAATACAACTACCCTATCCAAAACCCTAATTTGAAAACCATGACTTGGAAGGAAAGGCAAGGCTTTCAACCATGCCTTATTTTCGAAAACCTTAGAGTTAGGAAACCCTAGATTTCGACTTTAAGGAGGCCAAAGAAACGTGTTCAAAAACCCTTTACACTTTTCGAAACTAGGGTTATGAAACCCTAATTTGCGAAAATTCCAAGCCCTATGGTTTAAATGCCATAAACCCTAACTTTGTCAATTTCAATCTATTGTATCAATCTAATTGATAACAAAAAACCATACGCTCTGATACCACTGATGAGTTTTATACATAAGAAACAATCATATGTGTGCATGCAACCCTAACGGAAGGATCCATGTTTTCTCTATTAGACATACAAGCATTGAACACAAATCTAGAAACTCTAGGAGGTATGTACTATTTTCGAAATCAATTTAAATTAGGTTTAGATATATACCTTGATTTGTTATGTAGTAATAACAAAGAATCCTTGACGATCTTAAACTCTTGAGAGCAAGTGCCTCAAATGTGACACCTCTAATGACTTATAAACACTCTATGCAAGATGATGAGAGGAGGAAGGAGGAGTAGCCACAAGATTTCGGCTCTACTAGGGTTTGGAAGTATGGGGCTGAAATTCTAAGGGGTGAGGCTCTTTATTAGCTATTGTTGCTTAGTCCTTAAGTTAGGGTTTACTGGAGGAAACCCTAATTTCTAGCTTAGGGCCTAAGCAGCTCATGGGCTCCTTATAATGGAGCCTTGGATGAAAACTTACATGGCCTCCATATAATTTTCGTCCACTCATTTCCATGGATCCAATAGCCCAATTTCACAACTATCAATAAATTGCAAAACAACACCTAAACTTTCAATCAGTTCCTTTAATCTCAAAAATTAATTCGAAATTAACTTATAATAAATACTAATAAATATTATGATATCTAATTAAAACTTACTGCGGAAGAACTCGCATTAAAAAAAAGTAAGGAGCATTATACTTATTCTTTGCAATAAAAAAAGTAAGGAGCATTGTACCTATTCAAAAAACTAAAATGATGGAGTTTTCTACCGATTTTTCCAACCCATGTACTTTGTAATTACTAACATTTTGCATTCTCTACTTTGTAACATGACCCCGCTCCCAGGGGCGCTGCCCCCGGACCCCCGTTCGTTAAGGGGTTTCGACCTTAAATGACAGTGTACTTTGATACTTGATCAAACTTAAACAAGTGTGTACTCCACACCTTCCTTACTTGTTTAATATTTATCAAGATCATTTTTAGTCAACAAAGTAATCCCATTACACTTAAATAACATTGATGATAACAAATCACCAACAACTAGTTGTGTAACCCGTGTATTACATGAGTTAGCTTAAAAAAAATTAAATATAATTATCTAAATAATTATGAACATCAAATTTATAAAATAAAAAAAAAATATTGAATTATTATAATGGAAATGGTTTTTATCTTTTAAATTTAAACAAATAATTTAAATAAATAAACGAAAAAAAAACTAATAGAGGTTTAATTTTGAGAATTTGAAATTAAAAGATAAGTTCATTAATAACATTAATATTCATTTATTATTATATTTATTGCAATTATTATATTAAAATATTATACGAAATTTAAAAAATAGAAAAACTTATAAAATGATATATATATATATATATATATATATATATATATATATATATATATATATATATATATATATATATATATATATATATATATATATATATATTTTTGCTGCATTTTTTCGTGCATATTTTTAAGCATTTTGCCTTGCACGACTTTTTTCTGTGACTTTTGTGTATTGGAAACTTAAGTCTTTCTAAGTTTTATGCATGAGTTTGGTTCCTAAATTTTGAGGATAGCCAACTTAAGTCATCTTAGGTTTCTATTGGTATCGAAAGAGTTACTTTTCTAAATCAATTACTACCGTCGCAACACATGATGTTTAAATCCTAGCTAACGACTAAACTCTAAACGATAAATGGCCACTGGTGGCACTATGAAAATGATGATGATGACTATTAGAGTGTCTGTAACGTACAATGAAATGCAATTTTTCCCCATCTTTACAATATTCATGCATATCCAATCTTCCCCCAATTTTGGAGAAATGAATGATATTACTCAAAATATAGATTATCACTATTCATTTCTTAAAAAGGGAGTGGAAGTTTTGGTTGTCGATTTTAGCTTATCTTTTTAATTTAATACATTTCTAGTTTGTTTTTTTTTTTTCTTCTAGTAGTTATAATTTTAAATATAGGATTTAATATTTTTAATATCCTATTTTATTTTAAATTATATTAATTAATAATAAGTATACAATTTAATGTCACTATAAGAGAAACGACCATTAGGGACGACGTGATTTGCGGCGACATGAGGCATTTGGGACGACACCAAACAAACGTGGGAATGTGGTTGCTATTGGTGAGGCATTGCAACTAATAGAGTCACCCCTAATGATAGAAATTGGTGAACCGACGAACATACACTAATAGAGTCACCCCTAATGATAGAAATTGCAACGTACACCGGCGGTCTTACGATTCCCCCAATATATTTTCGGCCTCTTTTCAGTTTGAAGCTTCTCTGACTTCCCTCCACCACCAACTCGTCAGTTTGGCGAATTTCCAGCTAGTAGATTCGTCTCTGGCGACAGTGTGGTCTTCTTTCTCATTCTCTCATGATTCTGACATTGATTCCTTTACTGATTTCTTGAGTGTTTGCTGTTTACGCACCATAACAGCTACCACTGTTTTGTCAAACTTTTTTCCGGCGACCACCACCAATACATACCCATCACCACCATTGTTTTGTTCTCCAACCATAGGTATTGAATTGGTATATATATATATATATATATATATATATATATATATATATATATATATATATATATATATATATATATATATATGTTAATATTTGGTATTGAATTTGTATAATTATGTGTACATATTGTAAATCTGTCAATGTATAAATATGAGAAAATGTATTTCTGATTGGTTTTAGGATAGGTTGGTATGTGTATATGTATAAAATATATGTGTATATGTGTATTTGGTATCTGGTATGTCTATATGTATAAAATATATGTGTATATGTGTATTTAGTATTTGGTATGGGTAATAGCCGTATTATTTGTTTATATTGTTCATCTCTTTTATCAATGCAATAACTTTTATTTCACTTAGATGCATTTACTTGTGTTAAGACATGTGTATTAACAACAAGAAACATAACGTTTAGGGATGAAATTATTTGCTTGTGTATATGTGTATTGTTATGTAAAATGTTATGATTAACAATGTAAATTCAAAAAATAAAAAAATTGTATGCTATAATTTACATTATCATTAAAGTACAATGTTATAATAGAAAAACTAAATAACTAAAATGATATAAATAATAAAAATATGTTATAATTCACATTTAAAGTACAACACTATAAGACAACACCCACTTGTGTTATAATTTTTCATATTGTGTTTTATATATATATATATATATATATATATATATATATATATATATATATATATATATAGTGTCCTAAATTTTCAGGATGTCATTTTTTGGGTTGTATTGGTTTATCTAATGATTGCTGTGATAGGCCATGAAGTTGATGGCAGTGACGAGCCACCACATCCATTCGGCGGAGATTTTGGTGCTCACCAGATTGATGGTAGTTAATATTCATTCTAATTCATTGTATTTCATATTGTATGTATATAAAAAACTATATTGACTAATATATTTTTTGCAGTTGTACCTCCCAGACGAAGAGGCATAGTAGTAAACAAGAAAATGCATTGGCTATATGAAGCAAGCGGCATAAAACCTCTAAAAATAATATTTGATAGAAATACTTTTGTGCCGATTAAGATGTATACAAATGCTTCATTCGGGAGGTTGGAAGTTATATGTTGCACGACATAGCTTTAGATAAGAACACTTGGAAAGAAGTTCCTGGAGCCGATCGGAATGGCATGTTTATATATCTTTTGGTAAATTATTTATAAACTTATATTTAACATGTTTAATTTTGATTTATTTTTAATTTCTTTATTTTTTGTAGACATATTTTGATTTTCAAGCCATTTCAAATGCTCCCAATGCTAGAATTTTATGGGCATTACTGAACAATTTGATATGTTAGCGGTAAAAAGGCTGTAAAGATAGGGCAAAAGATAAATTTATAGATATGCTAGAGGATGCGGAAGCAACAAGGGGTTGATCCCCCCCCCCCCCCCCCCGGTATGGATTCAGCGCGTTGGAATGCTATTATTGACCACTTGTTAACTGATATACATTGTAAATGATCCAATGTGAATAAAGAATGTCGGAATAAGTAAGAAGTTAAGAATCATGGAGGGACGTGCGGCGATGATAGTGCTTGTTTCAAAAATGTAAATTGCATTAATGTTTATTTAGTTATAACATATTTTGTAATATTTATTCAAGTCTAACATATTTTTTAATGTTAAATAGAATTAGAATCAACTTGAAGTATTTCACAGTGCAGATGTCAATAAACAAGAGGAATTTGTTGACCCTTTGTTTAAGAACAGTATATACGTTATTATTACTTAAAAATGAAGTAGAATGTTATTTTTTTGTGTTTGTTTTGAAGTATATTGACAATTTTCGAGAAATGCAGAATGCTTTAGTTGCCGAAGTTGCTTTACAAACTCAACACATAGCCGACTCCAGTAGTGATCCGAACTCCATTGATTGGATAGCCTTATTTGAGATGGTTTTAGGTGCCTCCGTAGCGGGTACACATGCTCCCTCCCAGTGGCAGTCACAGTTACAAACACCGCAACCAACACGAGTATTCATTAATTTGTTGTGAATTTTGTTGTTTGGTAGTTTGGTACTTTATTAGTTTTTTAGGTTGTTAAATTGTTATGAATTTGGTAGGTTTGTTAGTTTTTTAATTTGTTAAATTGGTATGAATTTGGTAGTTTGTTAAATTGTTAACGACTTAATGTATTTGTGACTTAATTGTTAAGTAATAATAATTTGTTTTTATAGTTTGATATATTTTAACTTATGTTCTTACTTTGTAGGATGCGGATGTTAACACTTTTCTCCAAAACCTGGTGTTTGTGACATCAATTGGAGATATTATCTGTTCATTTAGCAAGCAAGTCGACAATGCAACCAACAATGATGAGGAAAATGACCATGGGGAAGACGATTAGTATATATTGTTTTATATTATGGATGACGTTATTATGGATTTAGATGTTATTATGGATTTATTAGAGTGTGGACTAAATCGACTACTATTTCATGTTTCGATTATTATTTCATGTTTGTTAAATTATTTATGTAATGTGATATACTTTCTGTTTGTGTATGTTAGTTCATGTTTTACATAGTGCAGATTTTTAAAGTATAATTTTTATAATTTTATAAACTCTGCATTTTTTCAATATAAACAAATATAAAATATAAATTTTATTTAAAAGAAAAAGCATTAATGGCGACACCTTTAGGGACGATCTTGAGCATTAGTGACACATCCCGCCAGAATACTTGGTCGGAGTAGCACTGGCCGGTGGCCGGAATATTATTAGGGATGACACCTTTAAGGACGACGACATATATTAGTGACGAAATGTATTTGGGTTGACGCGTTTAGGGACGACCGTAGAGTATTAGCTATTAGGTATTTGCAGCAACCCTAAAGCTGCCTTTTCCTGTTGTGTGTTTTTGTATTAAGTTCATATAAAAATTAACTACAAATTAAAAACTGAAATACGATAAAGTATTTTATAAGAACTTATAATTGAAATATTTATACAAATACAATAACATATATTAGTATAATAAAGAATAACGATGAAGATGAATCCTGTTTGACATTTTCGAATTATTCGGCCCAATTTTGCGCCAAATGAAGTTGACTCAACTGAGTCCACAGAATTAGCATGGGATTGAATGAATTAAGCGGGCCTGATGGGTGGAGAGGCAACCAGGCATTACTTATCCGGGGAATGCTCTGAAGGATTGAGGCGCAGGTTGTCCGAAACAAAATCACTGTCTAGTGTCTACCAATTACTCCAAACAACAATTATTTTTTTCCATGAATGTGTCGCAACACCTTAAATATTTAGGTTTCAGAATAAAACTAGGATGTTGGTGGATCTAGCTTCTGCTAAACAATCATTCACAAAATGTCCACAGGTTACCTTGTCTCCAACCCAGAAGTAGGGTTAATTATAACGTTATTCACCAAATGTCATATATTTTGTAATCACTCATTCTATGCTTATATTCATATAATTGCATAATGCAGATACGACTTGTGTCAGGCTACTTAATTTTACAATTCAGCAAAGTACTTAAAACCTAGATGGCTAGATCATACATCCAATGAAACAACTTAATGTCTTGTCTCCTGAGAAATGTAGATACTGTTATAGGACGTAGAATAATGAGAAATGAGCTGTGGATATGGCACACGAATAATGAAAAATGTAGATGAATAGAAGATTAACAGGCGTAGTGCCACCATGCTTCTAATTGCTGTGTCAAGATGTGAAGGGAGCCGTCTTGATGCCATAAATATACCCTTTATTACAAAAAGACTATTTCTTCGCGCCATATAACAGCTTAATGTTATTATTTTTTTTGTTGAAAATGATGTACACCTTAAGTTAGGTGTCAGCACAAAACATGAATCAAGGCAGATCTAGATTCTCTTTCAAAAATCTATACAGAGTGTCCCCAGGTTACCATGTCTCCCAAGTCCCAACTCTATCATCCACCAAAGGTCATTTATTAATGTAATCACATTCGTGCATTGGGTGTATATAAATATTTAGGGATGATACAATGCAATGCCACTTTGTGATTTGTATCAGAGTATTATATTTAGATTAATTTGGCAAATCAAAACTCAGATCATGCAATGAAAGAAACAATTTATAATGTCACTCGTGTTGTAATTAATTAAGGGATGTGAATGCTGGAGTATAGGGAATAGAATAATGAAATGAGCTGTAATTATGGAAGGAAGGGACACGATGCATACGTGGCCACAAAATCAAACTTAATTCATGATCACATTACTATTGAACACCAAACTCCAAGTATTTATATCATGTTTGTAATCAGTGGAAAGATAATAAACTGAAATCGTATTCTCAGATTTTAGTTCACAGAAACAGTTGGCTTCTGTTTCTTCAAACATAAAACCCCATATCAGGTCCATCAACTTACGATCTACATCAGACCAGCAATCTGTATTCCATGAGTAGTACATATTTCATGCTTCTCAAGAACCCACAACATGTTTTTCTTCGTCATCAACATCATCATCATTCAATAAACTACATCGTCAGAATGATATGTATGAATCCATTCAAATTGAGAAAATAGGAAGATATAATTTGCCTTGAATATCCCGTAGGGTTCCATTATCAAATATATATATATATATATATATATATATATATATATATATATATATATATATATATATATATGGAAAAGTGAATATACCGTTAAGGGTATATAAGCTTAGGTACTCAAACTCACCATATTACGTTGTTTTGTATCATATATATATATATATATATATATATATATATATATATATATATATATATATATATATATATATTGTAATTGTCTAATATTCTTATAATTCAACTTCTAACTTGATTTCATTTAAAGATTTTTATAAATTTCACATTTATTTTCTTCTTACATAATTTTCATTTTCAACTATAATATATATACCTTAATTGATGTTCGTAAAAAAGATGTGATTTAAGAGGAAGATAATAATGAAATTTTGAAAATTTTGAAAATAAATCAAGTTAAGCATTGAAGTTGAAGAACATTATAATAAATATATCAAACAAAATGATATTTATATATATATATATATATATATATATATATATATATATATATATATATATAGTAACATACACACAGAAGGATTACAATGCTTTTAAATAACTAAATCTTATCTATAAATCCACTTATATATTTGAATATGTAGCTTCAGTGGCGAATGTAGAATAGAAAAACACGTGGTTCTTTATATAGGTAAAGAGAAAAGACAAAAATATTTATAGCAGCTGCAGGGCGGATCGAACCAGTAAAAACCGGCGGGGTTGTAAAAAACTGCATTCAACCGGAACGTTCGAACACCTTAAAAACCGGTACAAAGCGGCCTACATGACCCCTAAAATGGGACTTTTACAATATATATATATATATATATATATATATATATATATATATATATATATATTACAAATGGGTTTCTTTTCATTTTAAAAAGTATAGTTGCAACTACCTATTATCACAACCAATAATGTTGAACTAGTTTTGTTTTTACTTGTTTGAGTAGTTTCCTGATGATCCTTTCGAGATATTCATTTTATAATATCAAATAACGATGACTTTTTATCTTTGTCTCTAATCTAGGATAGGTTTTGATAAAAGATAATCGTATTCTTTGCAAAATTGAGTAAAACATTCAACCATTTCTTTTATTTATTTGTATGTTATTTGTCTGAATACTGTAAAATAGGTGCTAATTTTTTTCAAGGTAAGTCATAATATATATATATATATATATATATATATATATATATATATATATATATATATATATATATATATATATATATATATATGTAGTAAATAAAATAAAAAAGTTTAGGGCCTACCTTGATAGACCATAGCTTCGCCCTTGTGTAGATGGTATCTCGTTCACTTCTATTTACATTCCCCATCAATCTTAACTGATACAAGGTTTACATTGTATCTTAGATGCTCTAGCATATTGCGAGCGACTAACTTAGTAAATCCATCAACAACTTCATCATTCGAAGATATAAATCGGACATTAAGAGCATCCATTGCCACCGTCTGTCTAACTAAATGAAAAATCCACTTCTATGTGCTTTGTATGAGAATGAAAGATCAGATTTGTTGTTAAGTAGGTAGCTCTTAGATTATCAAACCATAATACCTGTGGCGTTGGCTAACACAATCCTAACTCCTTTAGTTTATATTGCACTGATATTATTTCAGCTATACCATTAGCCAATGCTATATACTCTGCTTCAGTGCTCGATCGTGACATAGTAGTTTGCTTGCGTGCACTCCAAGAAATTATGTTTGGCCCTAAAAATACTACGAAACTTCTAATAGATCTATGATAGTCTAAAAAACCACCCCAATTTACATCTATAGACACACTAAAAAGTGTAGAGTTGGACTTTCGAATACTCAACCCTGTATTCACTGTGCCCTTTATATATCGTAGAATATGCTTAATTGCCTCCCAATGAACATGGGTAGGTCTAGAGAGATATTGGCAGACATTGTTAACAACAAGTGGAATATCTAGTCAAGTTAATGTAAGATATTGTAAACCACCAACTATGCTTCTATACCTGAATGCATCATCATCACCTAGAAAATTTCCATAATCACGAGCAAGCGTTTCCGTGACAGACATGGGGGTTGAGACGCTCTTACAATTCGCCACATGAGCCTACTTGAGTAAACTAGAAGCATATTTATGTTTCATAAGAGTGATTCCTGTGGAATTGTGAGCAACTTGAATCCCCCAAAAAAATAATGTAACCGACTAAGATATTTGATGGGAAAGGTACCAGAGAAAGTACACACCAACTAACCAACTATTCTTTGAGAAGAATCGAGAATGACAAAATCATCTTCGTAAACCAACATGTAGATAAGAATGTTCCCTCGATGGAAAATAAAAAGAGACGTATCAGATTTCGAAGATTGAAATACAAGTTAATGCAGTCTGTCACTTAGACCATAGATCGCCTTCTAAAGTTTACACACATGATGAGGTTTCTGAGAATCTTCAAAGCCTATATGTTGTTGGATGTAGACCTCTTCATTTAAGAAGCCATGAAGAAATGCATTGCTTACATCAATCTATCGAATATGCCATCCTCAGGACACTACAAGAGCAAGAATATGAAGAACATTTGCTGGTTTGACAATTGGACTACATGTGTCCTAAGAGTCAATTATGTATTACTGAGTGAAACCACGAGCTACCGGTCGTGTTACTCTTATCAATAGAAACATCTGGATGTTGTTTACGCTGAAAAACACACTTATAACCAATGACATTCATATTAGATGGTTTTGGGTCAGAATCCATGTACTATTCTTCTGAAGGGCAGAAAAT